AATCCTAGCCTTAACTTTAGAGTAAAAATACCATTTCAGTCCCTTGGACATCAATCTGTCCAACTTATCAGACCTTATTTTAAACCAATATTGATCGATGTTGAGTCAGTGCCTAATACCAACCAACGTCAGCTCAGTCTCATCAGTATGGAGACAGACAGCAGTAAGCCTCGCTATATTTGACTCACATGGTCTACTCTGGGCTCACTCAGGCAGATAAGCACATGTGGTCAGGGCTCCTAAAATACATTCTCCAGAAAAAAAAGAGTCACTGGTATTCTGATACATGGCGTAAATGTTTACCAGAACAATGGCTTGCCTACTGTGTCCCTTAAATAGTTTAACGACCGGGCAAAAGTTCCTGGAAATGTCATCAATATCTTGATGGGAAGAGGTGTACAATACATGTATAATAGAACAGATGTTGGTTCTTAGAGATATGAATGCATGCGACGAAACAAATAGTAAGAAGATAAACATATAGAAAGCAAAAGCTATAAAGTGTTTGCAAATGTAAACTTTTTTGGCGTGATAATGATGCTAGATTGAGTGTCAGGGGATCATTGCAATGCATCCTCAGGGTTACATGAATGTCTATACCAACGATTTATGGTCGTCTCTCCTCTAGATGTTGACACGTGTTTACGACTCAAAAATGTCAATCTTATGGAGGCACTGGTAAGCAGGAGTTCTCCAGAACGAATAGAATTCAATCACTTGGGGACCAAGAATGTCTGGAGTGTCTGCAGTTTTAAAATATGTCAGTCTGGAACACAGTGTTGAACCAAAACTTTTCTACTGAAGCTTAAAATTGAATGTTCCAGAGTGCTGATGTATCTCAGTTAGCAGAGCAGGGGCTCCATAGAGAGAGGCTACAGTGATCGACACACTGATCACTGGTTTGACTCCCAGCCCCGACCGTTTGGTGCATGTCATCCCCAACTCTACCTCACCACATTACCTGTCTCTCTTTAGCTTTGCCTGTCAAATAAAGGCCAAAAGAATCAAAAGAATCTGAATTTTCTGCCCAGCTGTCTAATTTGCTTTTAGTCTGATTATCTTACACTTAGTTTTCCTGGTGTTCCATGTGGTTCCTCTTGACAGACAAACCGGAAACATCTCCATAAAGAAAGAAATGCCTCTCTCTTTGAACCTCAGCCTTTTAACATAAACATCAAGTCTACCATTTTCTAATACGCCCACTGAGTGCTGTATAGAACAGAAAAGCCACCTGCATAGGTCTTGAAAGAAACCACAAACCCCATTCATTGGGTTCTAGCCCTCATATTTCATTGAACACATCATTTATCCTCTGGATTTGAAAAAAAAAAAAGCCCACAAAGCTATCAAAGCTTCACATGGAAAAGTCAACAGGCAACTCTAGTCCTGTCTTGGATAATGCATGAGCTTACATTTGTAGGGTGGAGAAGAGAAATAAAGAAGGTACCTACAAGAAATCTCCAATAGCTGCCTTTTTCACAAGTGATATTGAATTCATATTAGTCAAGACTTATATTTTCCTCAAAATAGGCTTTCCTTTTTCATTTAAATAGGATTTTTACGAAATCAAATTTTTTAATTATAATAATAATATGCTTAGGAAGCTGCCAAAGATTACTTTTTTTGTCTGTTTTGTTGTTGTCACACATTTGAACCCTCACAGACTCAGTCGTCCTCACCAAAGCTAATCTGCCTCACAGAATACGGTACAAAGTCTCAGAACAAAAACAACCATATGGCTTAAAAGCAATAGTGGCAGGTGAGCATTGTTTACAGTCACGGTGGTTGCATGAGACGCTAAGAACAGAAAAATGTGTGTGACAGGTGTGTGTGTGTTTGTTGGTTGAGCCGGGGGTGTAGTGAGGGAGAGCAGTGTTGTGTGGATGGTGGCCATTGTCAGTGATCTAGCCACGCTCCTTTTAGCACACCGTAATGCAATAATGCTGCTTTCACCGCTCCCAAATAAACTGAGCATTACCACGTATTAAAGTCAGACATCCCTGAAGGCCCTGCATGTGTCCATCCTTCTCTATGTCGAGACTATATTTAGCAGTGAGGGATCTCTGCTCAGCCCAGTCAGTCTAAAAGCAGAGACAGAAAAGCTGCCACCCATTGTCAGACACAGCACCCACAGGGAGGCAAATATGCAACACGTGCGGATAGGAGCGCCTTTATCGCTCTCTCTCTCTTTGTAATCCATTTCACAACTAGGCAAAAAAACCCTCCTCAATAGATCCAGTCCTCCACCTGCACTCCTTGAATCTGATTTCACATCCTTCTGATCCCTAATCCCAAAACAGAATTCCTCTCTTTCCCTCACAGTGGATAATTCACCGTGAAGTGCAATTTTATGGGCTGTGAGTCAAACTCCTGCTAGAGACATGGGTCGTGATGGAGGCCTTTTCTCCTGCCAAAAGGGCGTGAATCTGATTCCTGGCACGCATCCAACTGCAGCTCATTAATCACATGATCACCATAGGCTGAGGTGATGAAGCTCAAACTGAAAATAATATCATTTAACACATTTGGGGGGTACTTGTAAATGAAACAACATACGTCAAACGACTTTCCTATAAGCATATATCCGCAAGAGGTAGTCGGCAGCATCAACAACAAAAAAAGTCAAAACAAAGCAATAAGGTGCAAAATATCGCAATGTTCAATTTCACAGAAGTAAAGATGCCCACAAAGCATTTATAACATTTTATAAGGCAGACAACACTTTCCTCCTCTCCATTTTGCAACATCCAGGTGCTACATTCTCCTGTGACCACACAGCAGTCATTATTCACAATGCCGGCAGCAGCAGGTAAACAGCTGTTCACAGCACATTAAGATATGGTAATCTCACCTGTCCAAGGTCCAGGGTAACATCCACCTCATTGTAAACCATTCCCCTGGAGAGAGGGGGGCTCTGCCACCACTGCTCCGTCCCATCGATAGCGTTGGTCACAGGATGGGCTTTGCTCGGGTCCACCGCATTGCAGTAGTCACAGAATTGACCCTGGATGGTGTCAAATTGTTGGTATTCAGAGACATAACACAACCAAATAATTGCAGCAAACCTACATGCAGGTGAAAAATGAAAAGGGAGGCAGGCACTGGCAGATATCTAACCTAATGTAAATGTGAACAATACTGCAACCACAAAAGAAACGTGGCTTTTATGTGCAGATCAAGTTGCTGTTCTTAAAGTAGTAGAGGGACTTTCAGTGAAACTCCTTAGGGTGCCATTGCACTTTTGAAAAGACATTTCCTGAACAAAACTTAAAAACAATGGTGCAAAACTTTTTCTGGCACTTGTTCAACTTGGTCATGGTGGGCAGAATTGTCAGGGCTTATACAAAGAAACAGACATGAGTTATAGGGGACCATATTTAGATATGGAATAAATAGCCTACTTAAGAGCTTAAAATGTACTTTTTACAATGTAATTACAAATACAGTGCCTACATGTTGTTGTGATTCACCTTTGCGCATGTAGCAACAAAAAGAAACAACTTTTCTTACCTGTATATTCTGAGTAAGGACTCCGTCGGTCGGTCCTCCGACTAGTTTACAGTATAAATCATATCTCGGTGCTCCAGCCTCATCCTGGCCGCAGGTTGCTGTAGCAGAGATACTCGCCCCCTGAGCGAGGTTGAAATACGGAGGACTCAAACTAAAACCTGTTTCTTGTCCATTTGTTTCCCTGAAAAGTGTTACTGAAAAGGTAAAAACTAGTGCGAGTAGATGAGCTCTCCTCAACTCTCTCGCCATATTCCACATTAAAGATCCCAGTAGATGCTGAGAGCAACCCGCAGCGTGTAGGTCTTGTCATCTATAGATCTCCATAAAACCTAATAGGCTGCTCGAGCTTGGCGCGAGGACTGCACGTTCGGTGAAGTCAGTGACAAAGTTTTGAGTTGGTCTTCCTCTGTTGACAGTGTGCTCTCTTTCCGCCACATGTTTCCAAACTGACAACGTCAATTCCCTTTTCCTTCGCAAACTGTACGCCACACTGCAGCTATCAGGTGTCAGGCTGTCGACGGTCTGAGCTCGACGCTAAATCCACCGAGTGGGGCCAAAGGTCTCCTATCACAGTTTGCAGTGCGTCACCCAGCTGCACGCCTGATTTGTTTTCTTTTCGCCGTTTAGAAATCTCTACGCTTTCAAACATATCATAGGCTATAAGAGGCGCATTTGAATTGTTTTGCCTACGTATAATTAACGACCTAGAAAACGTCTTTTGAGCATCTTAAAAGTCATTTAAAAAGACAACTTTGCTCATTGCCTCTTAAAAAAAAAAAAACTAAGTATATGCCATATGGAAACTGTGAAATGTTTTTTGTCATTTTTTATGCTATTTCAACTCGCTGCTGTAGACAAAAAACAAATGCAATAACAAACATATAATTTTAAACTACAAATGTATCATTAGCCTAAATGATGGTTAATAAATATTTTATAAGCAAACTTGAAATCATTATTTCCTCAAATGGGCTCTATGGTTTATGCATTTTGTTAGATATTACTCACATTTGATTTTTTTTTAATTATAATATTAATCAGGGTGCTTCGAGCTTCAAAATTGAAGAACCAAACCTCTTTGTTCCAGGTTTTTTTTTTCTTTATTTTTTTTTTTACATTGAGCTTGGGGCGCCCTCTAGTGGATGTGTCGGATATTACGTGAGACTGAGGGGGATTTTCTGCAGTCAAGTCGCGTCTATTACATGTCACTTCGCTGCCTGTAATAAGAGCTACCATATTGTGTTAAACGTAAAACGACTCTTTTCTGTCATGATTAGCGCATTGCTTTGCTGGTTATGTCTACCGGTCCCAAAAGTGATAAGTAGGCTATGTCAAGTCTCGATCAGTAGTCTATATTACCGCAATTAAAACAATGGCTCAGCACTTCATTGTATGTAGGCGAACTTGTACGACAACAAATAAGCGCCGTGACTCATTGACAGGAGGGTTTCGGCATCGTTACCATTCCTCGGTTTCTCTCTGAGACGCATGTGTCAGATCCGAGGGAGTGATTAACAAACAGGAACTTGTTGTGCACTATGCTTATACAGTGACATACATACGAGTAAGTAAACGAAACTGCAATGTCAGGCAGCACCTTGTGATTCTACTTTGTTTTAAATTTTCACAGGACTCCGTATGGAGCCAACAACTCTACAGGTAGGATGAACTTCCTTTTTAAGACTTTGTTTAGACACTCCTCGTTGGGTACTGTTGTTTAACTCGGTAGGCTCGCTGTGTGTATGGCTTATTCGCTGTGTACAATCAGACGTCTTTCATTTTGACAAAAGCTCAATTGGGATTTAGTCTACTTCACATGTTATATTCAAGTAGCCTTTAAAATAATAAGCAGTTCGTAGTTTGGGTGCAGCATCAACTGGGTCATTTTTTCCATACGCTCCTTTCATTCCATGACTGACCGTAAATAGCTTTTTTCAACTCCACAGACTCAAATGTTAGACTGTGAACATTTATTTCCAGTTCATAACATGTTTTAAACTGAGATGTGACCGTGTTTAGATTGTGCTTTTGTAACCCTGATCTGAAAAGCAGTAATAGCTCTCTTATAGCCAGTTGTATTTGTCAGAGTACTATACCCTAAGAGAGTTTACTCTGACTTTGTTTTCATTACTGAATTGCGCTATAAACCAAGTTCATGTACACAACATGTCTGCTGCAATTAAGACACTTTAATCATTTGGTCACATCAAAGCTTGTCACTGATACACAGCTATACAATTACTGCCAGTCGGTTGCATGGCACTAGAATAAGAGAAGTTTAAGGGAGTCCTGAAGCGTATTCCATTTATAGGGAGCATAATATGAGAATGCAGTTTTGCCCATCCGTACTCATGAGGAGGAGTATTGAGAACGATGCAGTCATGTGATCGAGTAAGATATTCAATATCTCTAAAATTAATAAATGAGGATAAATTAAAGGGCAGTTTATTTAAGACGGCTTTATAAATAAGGGAGAGACAATGATGTTCCCTTCTACTAGTGGAAAGTGATGTCCATCCCACCATGTCCTAAAGAATACAGTGATGCGTCCTAAAACTGTCACCTGTAATAAACCGTAGAGAGCTATGATATAAGGCATCGAGGGGCTTAGGAGTATGTGCAGGAGCATGCATGTAAATAATGTCCCCATAATCAAGTACTGATAAGAAAGTTGCTTGTACAATCTGATATCTACTGCTCAGTGTAAGACACTGCTTGTTTTTGAAGAAGAAACCCAATTTCATTTTGAGCTTTTTAGTCAGTTCTTCATGAGTTGTAAAAGATAATTAATCATCAAACCAGATATTGTTATTATTATTAACCAACACCAAAAATAATCAATATTGATCACGTCTGCGGTTAAGTTTTGGGAGAGACCATCTTCACATTTTTGGTTACTTTTTCTGAGCTCAAAATTCCCAGATGTTTATTTAAAAACACTAAACAAAGACTTCCAGGGCCATTCAGGATTCCCTTACTGGTACATATGCCTTCATCAATAGTATCAATTCAATCGCTGAATTATAATGATTTCTAACAGTGTAAGCAGCAGTTTCCTGTGATCAACAATTTGATTGTTTTAGCTCCACAGCATTTTGTAAAAATTGTATTTTAAACTGACGTTTTGATAAATAAAGCATTTTATTGTTTTTTTGTATTGGCTGATGTAGATTTGTTTTTACAGAAAGCTATTGCAGTGGCACAGAAGGCCTCACAGGAGGATGAGGCTGGGAACTATGATGAGGCCATACGCTCTTACCAACATGCTGTCAAGTACTTTCTTCATATTGTAAAGCGTATGTGACTACAAACTACACTAAAGCACAACGAATACAGTAAATGGGGCATTTCAGGTCATCTCAACAGTTTGTATGGGTGCCTATGACGGCATGTTAGACCAATAAGGACGTACTAGACGAATAAGTTGTTTTGTTTGTGTATAAATGACCACCTTAACTTGTGTTAAAGTTGTTAATAGAGTTAGTTTATAAAATGCCCCCCACCCACATACGCAAAAACATGAATGAATCAAAGTGATAATAAATGAATGCACTCTTCCTCATCAGGTGAACCCCAGGGTAAAGATGGCAACCAGAAGATCAGAGATAAATGCAAACTATACCTGGACCGAGTGGAGGAACTGCAAGAGTACTTAGAGAAGAAAGAGGTTGCTTCAAGAATCAATTTATAAGTTTTGCTATTATTTTTGTAAAAGTTATACCATAGCTTCCAGGCAGCGTGGATACGCCACATCATGAGTGGACTGATGTAATTCAAGTGCCTGATAATGCTTCATGTCAGAAAGACAATGTTAAAGTTCATTCATCGTCTCTTACTATGTTTTTAATTTAAGACTTTTAGAGACTTTACAAAAAGGGGTGTATGGGCTATATGTTAACTACTAACTCAAAGACACCAACTTGGAAGCCATGTAAACAGCAAATAAGAAAAAAAATAGCAAAACAAAGTCAGGTAACACAATTGACACAACTAGCAGGCAAGTGTGATGCAAACTGTTCTGTTCAAATCTTCACTTTGATTGTCTAATTTATTTTAGTCGTATAATCCGGGTAACAAAATTCATCAATCAACCAAACTTTATTTATATAGCACCTTTCAGACAAATTAAATTGCAGTTCAAAGTGCTTAACAAGAGTGCAGAAAAGTTATTGACAAAAAGTAGTTCATAAAATCATTGATAAAATCATTGAGAGACTATCATTGAGAGACTAATGCACACCAATAAGAATTTAAAAAAAATATGTACAAAAATAAAATACAATAAAATACGACACATAAAAGCAACAAGATATTAAAATAAATACATAAGAGGAAAATATTTAAAATTGTAGTAGGATTAAAAAAAGACAATACAGTAATGTTAAGATTTGAATTGATATAAAACACTATATAAAAGCCAGACTGAATAAATTAGTTTTAAGACTGCGTTTAAAAAATCTCGATATCCTGACATACCAGGGAGTAGAGCGCAATGCAAACCGATCTTAATTTTATGGTTTGAAGTTAATGTGTTTACACCAGACAGTCTGTAACATTCAGGTCTGGTTCTGTACCAAGCCTACGTCTTGACGTCATCACATTCCGTACACGCAAGTGTCGACTTTTCAATGCGGAAGTTTCGTCCTGAGTCTACTCGGGAGCGATCCAAGAAACGAAAACAAGCTTCGTAAAAACATCGAGTGACCGTCCTAAAGTCAAAGTTCCCGTTAAATTCGACGCAGTTTGTCTAAAAGTTGTTTACTCACGGCGCTACTGTATTCTTCTCGATTATTGGACGAGTGATCAGCCCTTATGGCTACCAACAATAATTTACAGGTAAGTTGAAGACAAACCTGGAATCTGACTAAAACGGGTTAATACGATGACAGATGATGACGACGGAGGATACACTTTATGAGTACTTCACCAAAGTTGACAATCGACATTTCTCTCCTATTTGGTTGAATGATTTTAGGTGGAAAAATGCTTTGTACGGTGTTACACTATCGTTTCTATAATTAGCTGCTAAGTAGCATTGTTAGCTAACGTAGCTAACGCGAATTCGACAGTGGATTTTGTGGGGCCATTAAAAGTACAGAAAGAGACACTGTTGCCCGCGGGTAATGTGTTATAAGAGCTGGTACTTTCTATCGCAATTATCATACACATGCAGTTAAATGGCAGCTGTCTTGTAAGATGAGCACGTATGACGGAACAAGGCAGCTAATGGGATTAATGTTGCTATCTGCTAACTGGTGTGATCTGGCGTCTAAAAACACATCTTACAAAGAAAGCAAAACCACTAATGGTTACGTTTTGTGCAGGTTGCTTTACAAGCACGACATGTGTTGGAAGTTAAAGTATGAAAGTGTATATTTTACAGCCCTGGTAACTAAAAAGGAAGTGAAAGAAAGCACATGTAAAGTCGGATGCATAATGTCACCAAAGTGAGGAACAAATGTACCATTCAATTGATCTTAACACACAATTATAAAATATATATTTATAGAGTGTGCCTGTAGTTAACGTGTGTATTGAACTATCTGTCATTCCAGTTGCATTACCTCTATAACTCTGTGTTTACATTTCATATTTTGTTTATGTGTTGTTGTTTTTTTTACGAGGAATATGTGTTAAGAAGTAACCCCCTTTTGGCTTGTTAGTACCCCTTCTAGTTGGCTATTTTCTCTTTTTACAACCTACAAGTGTAAGTATGAGTGACGTTGTTTTTGCATGTCTGTTATTTCAGAAAGCAATTGATCTTGCGAGCAAGGCGGCTCAGGAGGATAAAGCTCAGAACTATGAGGAGGCGCTGCGTTTGTACCAAGCTGCTGTTCAGTACTTTCTCCATGTGGTGAAATGTAAGTGCACGATGCAACACTTTCTGCGAGTTTCTGCTGTCCGAGAATCTTAAAATGAATAGCATTCTGATAATAATCCTTCTTGACACATTTGTTTACGGGCCATATTCGGAGTGACTTCATGTTAGTTTTTGATAAACATTAGGTGTGATTTTTTTTTTTCAGAGCAATTAGTTAACAACTCAGTCAAATAAGACTGATGTTAAAATGCTGTGGAAGCTGATGTCTCTCTTGTCAATGAATACCGTATACTGAACTATTTCTGTGTACCCCTTTTTCTACTTTTTCCTGGCAGATGAAGCTCAGGGGGACAAAGCGAGACAAAGCATCCGGGCGAAATGTGTGGAATACTTGGACAGAGCAGAGAAGTTGAAGGAGTATCTAAAGAAGAAAGAGAAAGCTCCTCCTGCTAAGCCGGTCAAAGAGTCCCAGTCTGATGACAAAGGGTGTGTGTATGGGTGGGGCAGTGCGGGCATTGCAGTCCATCTGTCCATGTGATCTGCCTGGATAAAAAAAAATCTGTGTTCTTTTGAAATATGAAGGACAACGGAATAAAAATGTTCTTGTAGTATAGAAGAAGTTACCTTTTTCTATAATTCTATGTTTATGCTTCCAGGAATGAAAGCGATGAAGGTGATGATCCAGAGAAAAAGAAGTTCCAGAACCAACTCTCAGGTTTGTTGTGTTTTAGGGGCTATTATATCTTCTGCAGGCCTGTTTTTTTTTATCTACACTTATTTGTTAATTAAGTCATTATTCAGAATCCTAACTCATTCTTTCTGTTTTCCAGGTGCAATCGTCATGGAGAAACCAAACATCAAATGGAGTGACGTCGCTGGTTTAGAGGGAGCTAAGGAGGCCCTTAAGGAAGCCGTTATTCTCCCGATCAAATTCCCCCACCTTTTCACAGGTTAAAAAAAAATCCTTTTATTAGAAAAACGTACTATTTCTACAGTTGTTTAAGGGTCATTGGGGGTTTTTAGTGACATAAGTAAAGACTAATTTACCTGCTTGAACGACAGGAAAGAGAACTCCTTGGAGAGGGATCTTGCTCTTCGGACCTCCCGGAACAGGAAAGTCCTATCTGGCTAAAGCCGTTGCCACAGAGGCAAACAACTCCACCTTCTTCTCCATCTCCTCATCTGACCTTGTCTCCAAATGGCTGGGAGAGAGTGAAAAGTAAGTCACGCTTACATCTTTAAAAACTCTGTTTTCTTTTGTATATACAGGATTTTGGGGGGAAAATTGTTTCAAAGTTGAGTGTGGTTTTTAACAAGGATTTCAGAATGGACCCAGCATGCCTTCTGTTAGGGATGCCACATCCACAAATCAAGGGCACCCATAATCAAAAACTGCTGAATGTGTTAACTTATGCTGCACGGAAAAGTTCATTACTTAAATGGATTTCACAAAAGCCACCAACCCTCTCAGACTGGCACAAGGTTATATTTGACCTGCTTCCCATGGAATATTTGACATATTGGTCCAGAGGGAAAATTGGAATATTTCATTATATTTGGACTCCGTTTCTTGATTATGTGGGGTCAAGAATATGTAATGTATTCTGGAGGGTGCTTCCTAGACCAAGGAGTGATAGTTGAAAGATAAGGAGAGGCTCCGTTGTCTGTATCGATTTACTCACTGTGTGTATTTATGTTTACTGTGTGTTTGATTTGCCATAATCAAATAACTGATGATAACTCATCTAGTCAGTGATTTGAGACTGTGCTATGCCTTGTATACAAGTCTGTAGGAATGTGTTGATGGGGTGGGAGGTGGTTAGAGGGTGAATGTGTTTATTTTGTGTGTGGGGGGAAAATGTAAAATCTATGTAATATGGGATTAAGATGGAAGTTGTGATGCTTTATTGTTAATAGAAATGTTCAAAAAACTCGGGTTTAGCATAAGAGAACATTCTGCCACATTTTACTATTTATTTTAAATGGTTCTTCTATTGCTGCACAGGTTGGTGAAGAATCTGTTTAGCCTTGCAAGGGAGCACAAGCCCTCTATCATCTTCATCGATGAGATTGACTCCCTGTGTGGCTCAAGAAGTGAGAACGAGAGTGAGGCTGCTCGCCGTATTAAGACAGAGTTTCTGGTTCAGATGCAAGGTAGGTGGTTGATTACTGAATATTGTGATAACATTTAAATACGTGTATTCTCACAGTGTAATATTTGAAACTGTCCGAGCGTTTAAATTGTTTCACACTAGCCTTTTTTAAGTCGCCAGTTTAAAATGGCACTAATTTACAATTCTCCATCTACATCCTAAATTCTCATTGAAAATGTTGTAGTACCAAAGAATGAGAGAGACATTTTGCATAATCTGGCCACACCTACTAACAGTGTTTTTCTCTCACCTGTCAGAGCAGATAAGCTCTCTGACAGGTGAGAGAAAAACACTTGCTGTGACATCACGGATTGAGGTGTGTCAGAAAGTACAACACAGTTTAAGCATGAATACCAACAGTGACCTTTGGAGTAAAAGGAAATTGAAGTTGCTTTCTTCAACAGTTTCATCCAAAATATAAGTTACACCAGGCCACTGATATATCGAAAACTGGAGATGTCATCACATATCAGTGATTATTATTGTCTGGATGTCAAGTATTTAGTTGTGTATTTACAGGGATTTTTTTGTTCAATGCGTTTTGCAGGTGTCGGAAATGACAATGAAGGAATTCTTGTACTTGGGGCCACAAATATCCCGTGGACCCTCGACTCAGCCATCAGGAGAAGGTAATTGTTACCACTTGATAAAACGGGTTTTCAACTATGCTGTCATGCAATTTTACTCACAATTCACCATTCATACTCTGTCAGATTTGAGAAGAGGATCTACATCCCACTGCCTGAAGAGCATGCCCGCTCCTTTATGTTCAAGCTCCACCTGGGCTCCACCCCCAGCAGTCTCTCTGATTCTGACTATGTCACTCTGGGAAAGAAGACGGACGGTTACTCAGGAGCTGATATCAGCGTCATTGTAAGAGATGCTTTGATGCAGCCTGTGCGAAAGGTCCAATCAGCAACCCACTTCAAACGGGTACGTCTTTTAAAATAACTGTCGTTTTATTATACTTCTGTGGAAAAACTTGTTGCAGCTTTGTAACTGTATCGTTCCTTTCTTTCTTTTTTTCTTGATCAAACAAGGTACGGGGTCCATCCCCAACCGACCCTGACATTGTCAAAGACGACCTCTTGACTCCCTGCTCACCAGGCGATCCCAACGCCATTGAAATGACATGGATGGAGGTCCCTGGGGAGAAGTTACTGGAACCTATAGTATGCATGGTAAGGATTTTAACACTATAAATACTATATTAAACAAATGTATGTACAAGTCCTCACTTAAATATCTAATGTTTATTCCCTCTTTACAGCCTGACATGATGAGGTCTCTGGCCAACACAAAGCCTACAGTCAATGAGCATGATCTGGACAAACTGAAAAAATTCACAGAGGACTTTGGACAGGAGGGTTAGGGGGGATGATTGGTCCAAACCAAAGCAAAGGAATTTTGATTGTCTCTCTTTTATGTTTATCTCTCTGTCAAATAGTAATCAATCCCTGGGACTGGTGGTTCACTAAACAATAAGTAAGATTACTGCTCTGTTTTTGCCAACCTGACAGCCACACAAGGTGGAGAACTTAGTTTTATCTGATATTCACCATTGTCCAAAGACTTTTAAGACTTTCCATTTGCAGCTGACCTTATGGAATATCACTATGATATAGGGAATTTTGACGTATGCACCAAAGGTATTGATGTGCCGAATACCCAAGGGACTTTTGGAAACATGTGGCAGTAAATCATGACACAACATGAGAATGAGGCTATTGAAATCAAGATCATTTATTTTTAGTTAGGACTAGCTCTTGTGTCCCAGTCAGAATAAAGCTCACTAGAACAATACATACCCCTTATATATTTTATATAAAAACAAGCATTTTGGAATGTCTCTTTGTGGACTGATGAAATATTGGGCTGGGCGAGTGACTTCATAGGATTAGTTGAGATGTAATTTGTTTTTGTTGTTCCAAAAATATTAAGAGTTTCAAGACACATACTCAGGATGAGAGCTGCATTAGGCCCTATGGAAATGTTGGTTGTTTATCAAGTTTCCTTCTAAATGACCGTGGTATTTGTTTCCTCATTAGAATTTAAAACGTCTGTAAGGATTGATCACCAAGACCAGCATCATTTTACAAAGACTCAATAGCTTTGAATTCCTTCCTCACTCAGCTCATGGTTTCCCTTTGCATCTGCTATAGATTTGTGTTTCGTAACTATCCATAGGCTTTGCTAATTGTGCTTAAGAGAAATTGGGGGGGAAAAAACAAAGCCTCACATTGAGATACAGTCACATTGCAAATTTAGTCCAAACCAAGGTGTTGAAGTGGGAACACTGATGGCTCGTGTGAAGAGATCATCATCTTGTATTCTTAACAACGTAGGAATGCATCTCTAAGCATGAGCTATACGAAGCCATGAGTGGCAGTGTGCATTATGTGCCTTCAAGAAAGCCTTCTAAGTTTGCAAGATTATTTTGTATGTGTTTATTTCTAAATTGATCATACTGCTTATGTATCCAGTGCTATGTCACTACACCTAAGACATGTATAATACTTGCACATTTCCTGTATACTCTTTTAGAGACTGTATACAACTGTACTCTTCTACTCCTAATGTGTGAAAACTGTCATTACTGAGTTTTGATGGGGAACATCTTTTACTTAACTGTAAATGTCTATACATATATCCAACTTTTGAACCTTTTCCTTGTGGAGAGGTCGCCCAGTCATACGATTTTCAGTTTTTCGTTTCTATGATGTAAATAAAAGTTTAAAGCTACATTAAAAAAAATGAAAAGCTTTTTGTTTTGGGAGCAAAGTCACGACTTGCCGTTGAAAGGTATTTACAAAAGAGGTGAAGGTCTGTCGATAAAGGTTTTAAAACATTGTCATTTCATATTCATATATGATTTATTTATTTGCTCAATTCAGTGTATGGTTTCAACACCATAATACACAACAAAAAATATTTTCTCATAATGCTGAAACACTGTTCACGAGCAAACAGGAGCAGGAAGAAGAAAACTTGTAATACCTGCCCCCCCTTTTCCTAATAACAGAATAAGACGGCTAACCTGTTGTTTTCTCTTTCTTTCACAAAACAAAAAACAGATTAAAAATATAGAAACAATCAGTTAGATTAACTCAATACATTCATAATTTCCCAGAATCTTTTCTTTATACATTCTTTTAAATTGAATGATACTTGAGCAGCATTTTAAATGAAAAATTTCATTGGGTAGGTGTGTGATTGGAAAAAAAAAGTGTGCGGCTGCTGCTGAAACGATACTGAAAACGGATGCGACGAATGAGAGAGTGTTGCATTATGGGAGTTGCTGTTCATGCTGCCTTAACCAGGCTTGTATTCCTATGGAACACTTTACGCTCCTGAACTACAAATACCAAGCGTGACCGTTAAGTGTCCGTTCAGAGTGCACAGTTCGATTTGTTTTGGTTTACACAGACTGCTTTGTCACGGGGAGCCAAGGTCCGCCGCCGTACTGTCACCTGGCCTTTCCACTGCTTCTGGTTCGCTGCCAAGCCCCTGGTTCAACTCCTCCTCCGCCCCTCTGTATTCCACCACCCTCTCTCTCTCTTGAGGGCCGCCGCCAGCCTCGCAGCTCCGCTATCGGACCCTTAGACGCTGGCCTGCTAGTTAGCAAACAAGCTAACGATTTGCTATATTTCACCCATGTCCTCTGAAGAAGCGCTGAGCTCAACGATCACGGATTGGATTTTCATCAATTCCTGGTGGCTCCTTCTGCCGTTCATCATGCTCCTTGTGGTTGCTGCCTTCATCGTTGCCTTTGTGCTGTTGTTATACATGATATCGCCTCTTATAAGCCCCAAACCTCTGAAACTCAACGGGGCCCACGTCGTGGTGAGTGCAGCAGGCTGCTAACCTAAACTCCTTTTTTATATAGTAAAGCTGTAATGGGTTCGTTCATGTTTGTTTTCTGACGCCCTCTCATGCTAGACCAAAGATTTAAGATAGCTGGGTTAGAGTTTAAAAAGTTCCTGAACGCTTAAACGAGTCACAAGTTGTTAAAAGAGATTTTTTTAATGAGAAGCTTTAACCTTCAGTTATAATGAGTGACACGCCCACATAGGTCAGTGTTTGTTTACTTACAACTACAGCCACTTTAAATGTGTCAGCAGTTTGTTAATCTCCATTAATACAATGATACAAGGATCATAATGCAGACTACTCATCTGGCTTACTTATACCCAAAATGTTTTTTTTTGTTATAAATGTAGTTAAGATAATTTCTAGTTCCCTGAAGTTACCAGCTAACGTCATGGTTATGTCATAATTTTATACAACGCAATACATTTCAGCATTACAACAAAAACTACAACCTCCACTCTAACTTAGTAATGTGTAACTTGTAAATGAATCAATATCCCCAACATCAACACTGTTTCAGTTCCCATTGAGCATTATACTCATTATACTGTGTTGGGCTGTATTGATTCTCGCTAGGTGTCCCTAATAAACTGTGAAATGTGTCTCATCATCATCATCATCATCATCGTCATTGTCAACCTTTATTTAAGTTCTCGGAGAGATCATTAAAGGGTGACCCTCATTTACAATGAGGCCGAGAAAACATACATAAATGATAAACAACGAGAAATGAGATAAAGCTACTACAGAAAATAAAATCAATAAAAGAGCAATAAGAACAATAAAATATATATATACTGAAATGATTTAAAAGCTTGAAATTACGACAGTGATAAGTCAGCAATTTAAAATCAGATAAAACAGTTGCAGTCAGGTATTGGGCGGTTAAAAATAACATTTCTGAAGTGTCCATAAGGGATAAAAGTGCTCAAATTCAGGTCCTGTTGTAAAATGTTCCAGGAGTTTGCAGCACTAACACTAAAATTAGTCTAGTTTCTCTTGGAATAATGCAGATGTAGTATTGCCACGCCAGGACTTGCTTCCACATCTCTAGCTGCCAACTTTTTCCACATTGATAACTAACTGCTTATCTTCCCATTTTTGCTTTTTCAGGTGACAGGAGGCTCAAGTGGGATTGGTAAAAGTATTGCAGTTGAGTGCTACAAGCAAGGAGCATTCATCACTTTGGTGGCACGGGATGAGGTCAGCATAAACCAAAATCAACCAACCATTTATTTGTAAAATGTGCTCTATTCCTGTGCAAAATGTGCACTCTTTGGTGTTGAATTGTCTGAATTGTGCAAAAGTGTTCAAAAGTTCAGACATTTTTCATCTATTTTTCAAGGTGAAACTCTGTGACATTCAAAGTTAAATCAACCTGGTCTTTTACCCTTAGGCAAAATTGCTTCAAGCGAAGAAAGAGGTGGAGAAATTTGCCATCAATGATAAACAGGTATGGGTTTCTCAGATATCTTTATAGCTCCTGCTGTGGCTACATTCATACATGCGACTGCAATGGAAACCTTTCTTCTTTTCAGGTGGTTCTCTGCATATCAGTGGATGTTTCCAGTGATTATAGCCAGGTGGAAAGTGTGATAAAACAGGTAAGGTTACCGTCTTAGTAACCGTGGAACATCTGAGATTCCATTAATAATTTGTTGCCGAAGTAATGAAGTGGCTTTCACCTGCCGTGCAGGCCCAAGAGAAGCTTGGACCAGTTGATATGTTGGTGAACTGCGCTGGAACTTCCATTTCTGCGAAGTTTGAGGAAATGGAAGTGGATCGTTTCAAAGTATGTACTTCAAAGTCTATCTGAAACACAACCCAGTTTTATTCTAGTCCTTGGGAGTCTTTGTACAGTACTTTCTTTGTCCAGTATTTAAGCAGCTTTTATTCATTATGTTTCCTTCTCGTATTTACATCTTAAGTAATTTAAAAAATGTGAGTATTAAAATGAGATAGTTACATGATTTTATTAGACATACTGTATTATTTTAGAAATGAATAAATCCGATAAATAATTAAATTATCCTTTCAGGAGACATGATACTTGAAACATGTTTTATTTCATTTTTAGACATTAATCATTAAATGTAAGAACTCAAAACAATTTTGTTTAATAACCTACTCATTAAAACCAGCCAATTTAGTCAAGATGTACATTTGGTACCTACAAATACAAATAGGAGGAGTGGTTTTATTGCTATCTCTCTCCCTCTTTTGCAAATGAGAAAAGACTAAGAATGTATGTATTTTCTGGGTAATACTTCATAAGAGTAGCATTCTGTATCAAAAAGTCTATCACAGAAATAGTGTCAGTGTTGTGTTTAGGGGATGTGTAGCAGCCTTAATGTAGCGCTACACTGTGGATAAAGTCATAGTATTATGTGTGAATTTTGGTTTTTCTTTTTTTTTTTTTTTTTTTTAAAGAAACTGATGGAAGTGAACTACTTGGGCAGCGTTTACCCGACACGAGCCGTCATCACCACAATGAAGGAGAGGAGAATGGGCCGCATCATGTTTGTGTCCTCCCAAGCAGGCCAGATTGGCCTGTTTGGATACACCGCTTACTCTCCATCCAAGTTTGCCCTGCGTGGCTTAGCAGAGTCGCTGCAGATGGAGGTGAGCTTTTGACCCCTCATGCTTCAATTATTCATGCATCACACATTTCTACTGCACCCTAGACAAACTAACTGCTAAAACATGACCTTCACAGAGAATTTTGTAAAAATGATTTAGTTCATAACTTTAAAATGTGTCTACTGTTTTGCCCTTTGGGAATCCTTGTAATAACATTCATACAAATAGAGGCTGTGGAAGGACTTTGTGCTCAGTGAGTAGTGTTCTTTCACTTCAGATAAAGCCATACAATATCTATGTGACTGTGGCCTACCCCCCTGATACTGACACTCCAGGATTGGCTGAAGAAAACAAGACAAAGGTAAACATCCCTGTAACACATGAAATAAAATATAACTTCTCTTACAGTTAAGCCTCCTCATTTACAGCGCTACTCTTCACTATTCTTTTCTCTCTCTCAGCCTCTCGAGACCAAGTTAATCTCTGAAACATCTGGCGTTTGCCAACCAGACCAAGTGGCCAAAATCATTGTTCGGGATGCAGTGGTAAGCAGCTGTAATTGACCCACGGGGCTTTTATGTCTAGTTTGAAACAGCAGGTGAATGATTTTTGGAAGATGACACACAATCGATTATAAATCTTTCCTTTGATTTCGTAGCAGGGGAACTTCAACAGCTCTGTGGGACCTGATGGTTACATGCTGTCAGCCCTCACCTGTGGAATGTCACCTGTCACCTCCATCACAGAAGGTCTCCAACAGGTACAACCCTGTGCATCACACTGTTACACCAGCCATAGCATTGTTGCTGCATTTATTCATGCTCAGTTTTTAATCCTTTTGTCAGATTGTTACCATGGGATTATTTCGGACCATCGCCCTCTTCTACCTTGGAAGTTTTGACAGCATTGTGCGCCGCTGCATGATTCAGAGGGAGCAGTCGAAAGCAGCTGACAAGAGGGAGTAACAGCAGCCTTAACCTGCTACACACAGTCCAATGCCCCTTCACCTCCACCCTTAACCCTTTCTCACAATCCTTTCCTCTCCTTCAACTGTTCTGGTGCACAACCGTAGACTGAAAACAGTGACAGACGTTTACTCTTTTCTTGTCCTGTGATTTAAATTTTTAATAGATTCCATGATTATTTTGACATTTCCTCTCAGAGCATTTCACTTGATATGTCCACCTGCTTCTTGTTGTGGGAGCAGGCCTACTAGAATAGAGAGAAGGCAGACTGAACATCCCACAGACTCGTTTTAAAGTAGGAAGGTGTTTTTTTTTTTTTTTATGTAGAGG